CGAACCGCGGACCTCTGGAATACGCGCCCAGCGTGCAGACCACCACACCACGACGGCATGCCGAGAAGGCGGGAGAAATACCTTATTACTCCACTGATGTGTCCACGGGCATTCTTGAATGCACCTTGATAAACGCTTATTCCTATGCTGCAACGTTAACGGACGCCTTGCTGACAATCCATGACATTGTATGTATAGGGTGGAAGTTTAATGCTCGTCACTACCCATTTGCTGAGCCAAGGCACGTGATGTGGCTGCACAATTCCTAACAGCAATGTGGTTAAGATGTTTGTAATCTCGGACATTAAAGAGTGTGGGACGTTGAAACCTCAGATCCTTTGAATGGTCCTCCTGATAATTCTCCTGCAGATTATCCTACTAATTCTTAGGTCTCGAGCAACGTGAGCAATGCCGAAATATGATAATTCCGAATCCAGATAAACGACGATTTTACTACGATTTATTTCTAAGTTATACTAGTATCTTTTTTACAGAAGACGTAACATAATGCCTTCTTACATGGAGCATATACAATCTCTAATAAAAAGCCAAACGAATAAACGCAATTTCCCAGTGCATTTCGGCGTATCAGTCTCTCATTTTATACTGCTTCGAGCTTGCTCAGCAGTCTATGAACACCATTCTTAAAATCCTTATAACATATTCTTAGATAATCATTTGATATCGTTTAAAATAATAAAAATAATAATAATTTAGAAAAAACGTCGTGCAACTGACTAATTCTTCAGTTAACTACCTTATATATATCTGTCTATCTCTCTCCCTATAATGGAATATAAAACTACGGTGTTTAAAATTCTATATTCAGTATCTTATAACATCCTAAGTTTCCATGCCAACTTCCTACGCATATGATGCTGTCAAAAGGTCAGCGAGCTATAATCCTATTTTAAGTAACACTTTCTGATTTTTCATCACAAAAAATTTCTTTCGCATACGTACGATTTCGCTTTTCGCTAATTCCTTTTCCTGTTACTTTACACAATCGTTCACTGTCATTCGAGTTACTCGATTATAAAATGAGATGGTCTTAACATAACATTTTGATAATTAAAAACGCACCTTGCGTTTTTAATTATCAAAACATCAATAACACATATCTTCACGATATAAGTTCATCAAAGCAAAATATTTCGCAAGCTCGTTTGCTGGGATTGAAACTCTGGCCGAACTAACAGTTTTCAACGACTTTTACCGCTCGGGGGCTTGAATAGATTTTATGCTTGAATATCAAAGAGGCCGCCTCAAAATTCGATTGCACGAATATGGCTATCGGATAGTTTATCCCAACCGAGACTATAAAATTGATATTTAAAACCAGCACTTCAAAATAACCGCCAACTCAACTCGAGAATCGAAAAGCGTATCCATTTGTCATTTTACGGTACCGCCAGCGCACTTCCTCCAATACATTATTTTTGGTAAGAGAGGAAAAAGTGAAATCCATTCTATTTTTAAATAAAAGTGGATATGCTGTGCAATGGAGAGAGGAAGGTAAATTGAGAAATTAATGGAAGTGAGTATTTGACGGGGAGGGGGGGTCACGAGAATTTGAAATGAGATATCATTGTCTCGAAAAGGAAAAAGGAACATTTCCAAGGTGGGATTTCCTACCCAAAACCTAATAGTTATGTTTCACTTAAGTTGAGATCAAATGATTAAAATTTAATTCGAAGTTATACGAACGGAAAAAGAAACTCCATTAAGTGAAAGCATTAATAGTACTATTTCCTCCAATAAAAAATAGATCTTAAACGTCTTAATATCTTCTTAACACCATAACTTTAAAACTATTTTAGCACCATACAATAATAAATTTATTCTACTCTGAAAATCGTATATGATTCTATAAAATATAAATCAACATCAGCATTAAAAACAATGTTCACTAAACAAAATTTTCTATGAAAAATGTGTCAATCCGTTTATTTCCTCAACAACTTTGAATCTGAAAACCACTAAAGAAGTGAACAATATCAACTCTGAAAACCACTAAAGAAACATCTACTTCTAAAGGCAAAATCATTCAGGAATTTTTCTAAGGATGCAGCTGTTTTTTTTTTTTTTTTTTTTTTTTTTTTTTTTTTTTAATACAGATTTTTCATATTCACAGAGGAAACATTTTTTCGAAAATTAATCAAATAATAAATTATCAACCAAAATAAGTATTTTCATCAAAATCTTTGAAAAGTATTGCCTAATGTTTATTTACAAAAATTAGGTAGGATGTTTGTATTTTACTGCGACAAAGCACTCACGAGCTATTTACTTTTGGAGAAAATCCGTCCTGGCATTAATTCGAAGAGAAACCGGTTCACATTTGAGTTATACATGATGACAATCATTTGAAGTTCAGTACTGATCCATTCAGTACCCGGAATACGAACTCCAGCTATCAAATTTTAGTGATCTTGGTCACTGGGTAAGCAGAAATGCAGCATATTATCTAGTATATAAAACTACTTACTGTTATTATGTACTTAAACATTACATTATTAGAATAATATGAAATAATACGTATGTAATATCATTCCTTTTTCAGTAGTTTCTCAGTTTTTACTGCAAAAGAACCAAGAAGGAGAAAACTTGCTACATATTTGTATCTAACATTTTATTTATATCTGAGGAATATGAAATAAATAAATAAAAATAAGTATTTTATTTATTAATAATAAATATTTTATTTGTTAATAAATAAATATTTTATTTAAGCGAACATAATGATACAAGAATAGGACTCGGATAAATATTACTTTGCTAGAAGCTACGCTGCCAGCCCTTGTCTGGCTTTTAAATGTACCGAGAAAATGCCTGAAGGGAACAAACACTAAACGTTAAATTAAAATAACTGCGCAGAATTTTATATATATAAACCCACAAATTAAAAAAAAGTATTTCATATAACAAAATTACAATGAAAAAAGCAATATCCCTTAATACAAATATTAATAATCCCGATAAATAAATTAACCAACTTCCCGTTGCCTTCTCTAAACAAACGTCCAGTATCCAAGAGAAACATTAAATTAAAAAAATGCACAGAATGATCGCCCTCATTTTTCCAAGTGGCAACAGTGCTGATTTTCAACACTCAGCAGTCCAGTTTACAACTGAATAAAAAACTGTTGCCAAAACCATATTTCTAAAACTGTTCAAAATGATGCGATAAAACCGAAATAAAATTTTTAAAAAATCTGATTCGAATTTTGAAGAAATCACTTCGAGTTGCACTGGCTCATGTCTAGATGCACCTACGTACCAAATTCCGTAGCTCTGGGTCTATTAACTTACGCGCAGCGCGAACGAAAGACACACAGACTCTTTCTTTTACTGTATGTAGAGATTATACTGGCGAAGTATTCTAAAATAATACAGCAATACATTACATAAAATCAAATGTTCAATTAACTGTTAACGATCAATGCAAATAAAACAGGTTATGAAGACTTGAGTGATTCTCATAAGTTACCTGATTAGCTTTCATACCTCTCGAGAAATAATTACAATAAAACTAAAGTAAGCAATATGCAAAAAGCCCCCTTTTATTTTTGCGCCCCACTAACGCAACCCTATCCACTGGGCAACGAGAGCCGCAAGAGAAAAAGCAACGGCGGTTGCTAAGCAACCACATCGTTTTCCTCCTCTTCCCCAACCCTATTATTCAATGCTCTTCTTTTCCCCAAGCGGCCGCCGTTAGCACTTCCTTTGCCCAGCAAGGTCAGGGCTGAGCGCCGGATGGCAAATGGCCAAGACGGGGGACGCGCGACACGACGAAGCACGAAATTTAAAAAAGAGGAAAAAGAAGAAAAAACCCAAAAGCTATTATTGATTTAGAAAAGCGACGAACACACAAGCAGCAAACAGATCCAATATTCAAAAACGAATTTTGGCATATCCTACAGATTATATATAAACAGCACTACTTTTCTTAATTGTTTAACGTTTAAGAATGACTAAACCATTCCTCCGCTTCTTAATTTTTAGTTCCTAAATGTAAACCAACCGATCTAAATGTCCAAAAACTTATCCTAACTGATAACCTCTTAAAAAATTAGGGAATTATAAGATTTAAAAAAATGTATAAAATTGGAATAAGAATTTACAATAATTCCCACGCAAGTTTTATTTATATGATTTTTGAGGAAATATTACACTAAAAATTAAAATATTTAATGCAATGTCTGTAGCATACACATAATAAAACAAACATACATTAAACATATGTCTTAATTATCAAAACTCATATTTTAAATTTTTTAGAGGATCTGAAAAACACTGAATTATTAAAAAGCTGTGCACATTTTCCACTCTGACAATACTTAATCCTGTTAATGAAAAATTAAACAAATTAGAAAATTAAATTGTTTTAATTTGAATAATAATCTAAAAATCCCAATCTGTTCAATTATTTACTTGAATTATCATACTTTCTGTTCTAGAAACCGTTTAAGCTAATATGAATATTTTTCTTCTTTTTGGGGTCATTAAATATAGTAAACGCTTCTTCTTACAATGTAACATGCTATTTTTAGAAAAAATAAAACACGAAACATTTTGATAAAACTATTTCATGCCTTCAAAGACGAAAATAAAAACATTTCCTAATTTTTAATGAAAAAATTTATTTAAAACACACCCAACACACATGCCTCTTTTATTTTTTTCCCCCTCACAGTTACCAATTTAATTTCTATAACTCCTAAAACTAATGAACAGACAAATAACTAATGAATATCACCGAAATAAGAACTCTAAAATTACTGAACAGTGAAAAGGCATTGGCACTGTTGTTCGGAAACAAACACTGAATGAGTATCTTGAGAACAATTATTCAAAGATCACGAATCTTAACCACAAAAGGTAACAGTGATTAGATTTTTATCAATCGCAGAGCCCCTTGTACTTTACAAAAGTGAATTAGCTTCGCAATATTAAGACTAAAGCACCTAATCAAAAGGAAATAAAATTTAGGTACTTACATGTGCAATACCGTTGACTGCATACCCCGAATTGACAAACCCCTAAAATTAAAAATAAATAAAAATTATTAAAAATAATTTAATTAAGAATTTATACAAGTTAAATAGGTTACGAACACGTATACACAGAGCTACATATACACTGCTCATTTGGTTCAGCTATGTCGAGTACATCTAGTTCTAACTACTACTTGAAAAAATAAGAAGACACTGAAATTAATTCTAGTAATCAAACTCGTGTTCATTACCAAATAACTGCAAAAGTTATTTGAATTGTAACAAAATACATGTAAATTATCAAATTTTAAGACGCGCTAATTTCCACGCAGGATTTTCTAATTATCCAGGTCAAAGAAGACCTGGATAATGTGCTAGGTTAAATACGCGGTAAACAATAAGCATCGTAAACAGCCAGTCCACTTCATTGGAAACTAAATCTGTTACTGTAATGGATTTTATTGACTCCGCCTGGTTTTTAATTTATATTTGCGATACCTAATTCTAGATCAACAACTTTCATAATACCTAAAATCCCAAAACTTTCTGAATTTCGTTATTTAACTATAAGGCATCTATAGTTAGGAAACAGGAAAAGCTTCAGCATTCCTAATTATTCAGAATGTATCTTAAATTAATATTTAAAGCGCCGTAAAATTTTTTTGGCCAAAACAATATTACTAATCATTAAGAATGAAAACCGCTGCGAAAGCATTTTCAGATTATATGTTCCGAATTTCTCCTAAGTACAGTTTTAGAACACATATTATAATATATTATAAAAAAGTCATATTTGAAATTTCAATTCCAGGTTCTACACAAATATTATTCGCAAAATTTGATCAAAATCAACAATAACTCGAGAAGAAAAGGCTTGCTGAGTAAAGAATGACATAAATAACTATGTCAAAAACTAAAAAGTTATGATTAAGACATTCTGCGCTGTTTTTCACTAACTTATCGTGCTTTTATCAAAGTTGCTGACTTGACATTTTTTTCATTTGATTATAAATGTGTTACAGTGGAAATTTTAAGCATTATTTAAAAAATTTGCAGAATATTTAAGTATTCAGAGAAAGGAGAAATTGAAAATCTTATAAAGGTATTACGAAAATATATCAGTTTTCCTTAATTCAGTTCTAACTATTCTCCTCTAAATTTTTATTATACATGCAGATCTGGTACTTTATGCAAATAATTTTCCTCTAAATATTTACAGATTGCAGCATTCCATGGATTAACTGACAATTTTTGTTCAAACTCCACATAATCATTTCCATGTTAGGAGACTATTTCTGAGTTACGATCTGCCATAAATGTAACTCCTTCACTAATATAAAATCAACAAAGTTCATCAACAAAGCGAAAAAACAGAACGAAATTTTAAAAAAATCATAGAACATGCGAGAAGAATCTCCAAAACAAGACTCATCCCTTTGATTTTCGAAAGTGGAAAAATGCTTCATTTGACATTTATTCATATACTTACATATTGCCAATTTGGTTTAAGAACACTAAACCAAATTGACAATATACAAGCGCATGATTTAAAAGGAAACGAGCGCAACTAAAATGACATTTCTTGTTTTTTCTTCGCTGTTTAAAAAATATTACGCAGCAAAAGCTCACTTGAAAACTGCTAAGATCTCTCATTCGTACATAAATTGCAATGTAAACTTCAAGTACAAAAGTAAGAAGAAACTAGGATAGATGATATAATGGCAGACTTTTCACTTATAGTTTAGGAAAGGCAACAATAACAGCCGCAAAAGAAATAAACTGTTAATGAAAAATAATGAATTTATTTAACTTCAAATTAAATTAATCAAAAACGTCTCCCTGGTAATTAAACACTAAGATACATAAGACGCATCATTACTACGTAGGAAATAAAAAATAATAATTTGCATTTCAATCATTACGTTGCAAGCGAGCAAGCCTAAAGACAAATTCTAATTCCAGCAAAACTTTTAAGCCATCTGGCCTCGCAAGACACCTGTAAATAGTGTTTCCCAGCAAGCTGACTCCAGACATTGCCCAAAAGCCACCTTTACACGCCACTTCCTCTACTTGTTAGAGGATTCATGAAGAATGAAAACAAAATACCAGGAGGAAAAGGCGAGTCACACACTAAACGACCGCATGAAAAATGAGGAGAAAACCCATCAATCCGACCTCCACTTCCTCTTCGCATTTAAGTTCACCCAACAAGTACCAAAGGAGAAAGAGTACTTTCCAAGTCGTTCACTTCCTCGAACCAACACTGCTTCATTGGCATTCTGCCCAATGGTAACACAAACCGCACCCCGAGAAACCATTCGATGGTCAGCGGCTTCTTCGCGACACGAAGGCCGCTTAAGGGTGGGACTTTATGCATTATAAGGTCAAGGACATTAAGGTAATAGAAGTTTACAGGCGCCATTTCAGAATATTTACATAGAAACGGTTTACTGATTTCTAAAACATCTCATAGCGCTGTTTAAGAACATCACACTATCATCAACGGCAAGGTTATTCGCAAAAGAATTTCAGTTTATTCAAATGCTGACGTCGATAGCTAACGTATTTTTTATATTACATTTTTAACAGGTATACAAAGACTTTTGAATGTATCTAAAGATCGATTATGATAATGGAAAAAAGGGAAACTTCATTCTTTCTTGAATTCTATTCCTCAACGCTGAAAAGATGGCTTTAATTGCCTACGTTGAACTGATGTGATGCAAAATTTAGACAATATTTCCCCTCGTTTAATCATGCAAAATTAATGACGATGATTAATTCGTTTTATTTAACCCTGCATGATATACTCATGGACATTTTGAAGAATTCCAGGATGTTCGTAATGTAACCAATCAAAGTTGTATAAATCACAAACACTTTTGCGAACAAAAAAATACAATACCTTCTAATCAATCACTAGATATTTATGATTACTTAGCATACGGATAGTATTTTGATGTTTGGAATTACGGTATCAAAAAAAGCGCACTCTATAGTACATAACAAAAATTTCATATTGCGTTAATTATAAAGCCGAGAAATACGATAATATTTTCCACGTTCTTTATTCTACTTTAGAAGTCATGCAATATTTAATTATTAATTAGTTCAACATTTTTCTTCGCCACTCCGATTTCTCATGCATATTACATAAATTGCTCATGCAACAAAACAGCCGTCAAGAAGTAAACATGCGACAAACTAACTTATATGGAAAGAACGCTTTGCAATAAAAATATATCAAATTTAAAAGCCAAATAGACGCATCAAAAGTATTTGTCTTTTGATAAAAATAAGTGTTCATAATTCTGGAGTTAATGAAGGGATAATTCACATATGCTCATCTTTCAAAGTATAACTTAAGCATACGGAAAATTTACATTCCCCCTAGCATTTCTAAAAGATGAAATACTTTCAGTAAACGGCAACTGGATTGCATCTCAAATTTCTAAAGCATGATAGAGAATAAAAATCGCTACGAAATCTTTTTAGTTCAGATAAAGATTTTGCTTAATTAGATTACTTTTAAAGAAACAGATAACAATCTAGACAACTTCAAATATACAATCAAGCGCTCTGCAAATTTTCATAATCTATATAGAAAGTTGTAGGCATTCTAAGATATTTTACTTTTTCCAATTTTTACTGCAATAAAAAGTAAAACTGCTTAATAAATCAAAGTCAAGATTTAATCAGACTATCATTATAAATGCTTTGGATTACATGCTATTTCTGGCTCAATTGCTACGTAAAAGGAAACCAAAAAAGTGATAAGTCTCATGAAAATTCAACCTCTACTTTTTTGTCTCAATCGATTACAGAAAGCTTTTGAATGTTTGATGAGTGAGTTGTCATCGAAGTATGGTTTAAATCATTGCTTACATGTTATATTACCACTGTACACATTTGTATGCTGTACTTTACAATATTCCTTTAAATTAGCATTCTTTGTTATCAGAAAGAAAGCTAAACCAATGGCAAACACTGATACATTTCTTATATATTAACGTAAATTTTAAATTAATCATATATATGGTATTGCATGTAAACATAGAAGTATTAAAAAGAGAACTTCTTAAAATTTTAGGAAATGTACTCAATTATTCGAAAATATTTCAAAACAGCACAGGGGAAAAAACAAGAGTTTTTGTTTTTTAATTTGAATTATCTAACCATAATAAACATTTACTATAAAATACTCTCCCTATTAAACAAATAACAGATTCTAATTCTACATTCCTTAACCATTTCATTATCAAAAATATACTTTATACTGCAACGCGTATATGGATACTGCAACGCGTTATGTAGAGGGAGAATGTTTAACATATTGCTCGAAAATGCTGTACGACAGATTTCAAAATCAGCACATATTTCATATAAATTTCAAAATTTATATAAATTTATTTTTATGGAATGAAGCAATGACAGCTTTAACAAACGTTTATCTTTAAAAGACAAACTGTTATATTATTAGCTGATTCATATAGTCTCCCTCCAGAACAATCATGTCCAAAACAAAGCAAAGCAACAAAGTGCCCCCCCCCAAAAAATAACTTGAAAAGTATTTATTTAAAAGCAGTGGAATTTTAACAGATGGTAGGATATAACAAGACATTAGCTTGGGAAAAGGCACAGAAAATGATCAATACTGAAATAATAAACAAAAACAGAAAGGCAAGAAATGAGTGAATATAACTAAGAAAGCATATGATCTCTATACTGCAATGCAGTCACAGGATCGCGAGGAAAAGATGTGGAGACCAGCATGATCGCAGACAGATTTCTTACCCAAATCATAAAACTACCGCAACTGTATGCGCAGTTAGATTTCGCGGACGTTACTGGCGTGATAGCGAATTTTAGATGTTTTCTAGGCCAATAACCTTCCGAAACAACTCTACAGATCAAGCCACGGCCGTAAGAAGACTCTACAGATCAAGCCGTAAGAATCACAGCATCCCATTATCGTTAATCCAATTAAAGTGATCTTTAGACCAGTTTATGCTGGTTCCTCCAAGCAAGGAGGTCAGTGAGAAGCT